TTTTAAAGTAATGGTAATTTTTTGTTACAGTGAGTAATTATTTATTAATCATGTTATATTGAAGAATAACAACTATGAGCAAAATAAAAAAAAAATGCATTAAAAAGAAATAGTTTTTGCTAAAATAAGTTTGAAATTTATAATTTTAATATAAAAATTTTGTTTAATAATTAATTCCAATAAGATTTATCCTAGGTTTTCTTTTTAAAATAAATTATTCAATAAGATCAATATGCAAATTACAGATTAAAAACTATGAGAAATGAACCATTGTACAATAAGAATGCTCAATAAATGAATCATGTAAACTATTTTAGTTTATCAAAGAACATATATATATATATAGGTGCTAAAACAAATGGCAATTTTTAACTTATGACTATATCAAAGTCAAAAAAGTTAATTCACAATTATGCTGAATTATAATACACTACAACACCTACCTACCAACCTACAATACATTTTTCTATTACATACTTCAGTCATGTATAAAATCGGTTTAATTAGAATGGCAGTTTTTTCAAGTAAATTGCCTGCGGTTCAGATCTTTGAATTCCTTAAAATTTTGTACAAAATTACATAAAGCCACAAAAGTATTTTGACAAATCCTCATATTACTAAAAAAAAACTCACAACTACATAAATAACAAGGAGTGAGTTTTTGTAGAATTTTATAAATCTTATACGTGATCATATTTTTACCTTTTTTATTTGAGGTATTTTTGACCAGATTTTTTTTTTTTTTTTTCCGATTTAATCGTTCAATAAAAGTAATTATAATTTATTTTTTGTAATTTTTAATTGATGCAGAACTTTATTGAAGAGAAAGGAATTATTAGGCAATTTTTCTAGTAATTTTGGCCATTGAAATCATCTAGACGATTGAGTTGAGATTATTTTCTCAATTATTCTTAGTTTTTTTAAAACTAATATATATTTTTTATAGGTCTTTAAACCAATAAATATATTTTTATTTAAATTTATAAAGCCAATTCAGTATTTGTTTGATTGCCATTTTTTGCACAAAATTATTTGTGCCCATCACAGCAATAAAATATTTGTATAAAGAACTAATAAAAAGTGGAAAGCTTTGAACTTTTTTTTTTGAATAAAGAATGGATTGTTATTCATTCGAACCATTGTTTGTAAACAATAATGAAACCTTTTTTTTAATTATTTTTCTTCTGTTCAAAAAAAGTATAAAAAAAAAAGTATAGATTCTTAAAATTTTTTCCGTACCTTCGTGGTTTGTTCGAGAAACTAAAAAAAAATTTTGAGTTTTTAAAAATAATAAATTTCAAATATTAATATTAATATTATCAAATACTAAAATAATTAAAATTATGAATCAATTTTTGTTTTAAAAAATAAATAAAATCTGGTAAATTCTTTTCGGTTTAGGTTTTTTAATTTTATTCATTTTTTTAAAAATATATATTTACGTATTTTATATTAGTATATATACATATTAAAGCATACGAACATGAATATAATAAAATTAAAATAATATAAAATAAGATTTTCACGAAAATTAAATTTTAAAAATGTAATAATATCTTTTCTTTGTTTTTTAAACGGAACACCACATCACTAAAAGTTAATAATATTTTATTAATCATAAAAACGATTAATATTTAATGTGGTCTAATTATTAATTATAAAATATTGCATGAATTTTAATAAATTTGGTTTAAAAAAAAAAAAAAATCTAACTCATGTTTTCATATTTTTCTTGTTTTTGGAATCATTTTTAATGTATTTTACACATTCATATTAAATAAATTAAAAAAAAAAACAGAAAAAGTGTAAAAAAAAAAAAAAGTGACATTTATTTTATTTTATTTTTTTTTTGAATGAGAAGGAATATTTAGGATATATTATTATTATTTATTTGCGTTGGATATAAAATTTTAGGAAGAAAATTAGTTATAAGGTTAATTTCAATAAATTATTATTTGATTTATATTAAATCATAGTGTATCACATGATAGGAACATTTTACTTTTTTTTTTTTGATAAAAATAAATATTCTGACATTTAAATTTGTTTTCCCTTTGCTTTAGATTAGAATTTTAAAAGATTCTGATAAGATATTTACAATAACATATAAAACGATCAAATAAAACCACCTTTACTGTACGTGTGAAAAAAAAATTTGTTTAATTTTCTAATTTTATTCAATTTTTACGTTAAATAAAAAAAAAAAAAAAAATGGTTTCTTTAACAATATTGAATATTAATATGAGATAAATTTTAGCATTGTTTTAAATTAAATTTAAAAAAATTTATTATTATAATCTGTAGTTCCCTTACTAAAAAAATTATTATTATTATTATTATTATGTAAAATTAATAATGACATTGAAAATTTTTTTATTTATTTTTAATAATCATTTTTTTTTCAAATTTATTATTAAAAAAAAAATTGTTTTTTAACAGAAAGATGGGATGATAGGGTTTAAACCTGGGGGAGGCAGCGACATACCTTCCCTAGGGGTAAATACTTCAAGTTCTCAAGTTTTATATAACGGAAGTGTTGAAGTTCCTACGAGTAGACAAAAGGCAATTCAAGCTGTTGAATACTATAACAGTAATATTGGTAAAGCAAGGTGCTTTTATAACGATCGGTATAATTACCAGGTTGGTTTTAATCATTATCTAAAATTTCACGTATTTAGAAAAACTTATTGTGTGTTTCATTGTGATAATAAGATAAAAATTTTAATAACAGGAGATATACTTTTTTTTTTTTTTTTTAGTTTTCTTCTTCTAAAAACGTATGTCGTCAATTATCGTCTCAAGATGCCTTGCATCGCAGTAATTCTAGCTTGGAACTTATGCACGATCCAGGAAACCATATAGAATCTTCGTTAAGGAGAGAATATGGAAGTCACGGGTCTATTGACATCATCGGAAATGGTTAAAAATACAAATTTCTTTAAAATAATTATTATTATTATTAACAAAGCCCACAAAATTAACTTTGAATTAATTGTTTCCCGTTTTAGGTTCTTTATCTGCAGGAGAAAGCTTTTTTGCTATGCTCCAAGATTACCGTCCAGTAGTGTTAAATGCTGATCAAAGATCTCCTGGTCCAGCTGAATTTCTTAAGCACAAAATTGATCCAGCTCCATCTTCAGAAAACGCGGTTAATTCTTTGGCGGATGAAACGGACGGGGGTCGAGTTCACGGTAACACGAGCCCAAAACTCAAAATTAAATTACACAAATTTTGGGGTCGCGATGGTAAAATGATTCGTAACGGTAAGTTTAAATTTTAGTTTACAAAAAAAAAAAAAGAAGGGAAAATAAAAATGATTCATGTTGATTAAAATACTAAATATAAATAGGGGAAGAAAAAACTGAGTTGGTAAATCACAATGAATCTGATGAGAGGCAAAGGCGGCGAATTTTCGCACATTACGATTGTCAAAGTCTAACAGCAAATTTAGGATATGCTGCAAAATTAAGGGGACTGTTGCTGGCCAGACGAAGAAATACTACAACAGGAGCAAGTGCAGCTTCTATGCTGGCAGGACGATCTGCCACACCAGATGGTGATAGTGGAGATGAAGATTCTGGTGATGGCACCAGTAACGATCTTCTTGAAAGGTTTTGTTTATTTTATTTTAAACCATCTTTAATTCAAACAAAAACATTTTCACATAATTATATGACGATGTTTTTTTTTTTTTTAGTTGCCCTTATTTTAGAAACGAAATCGGAGGAGAAGAAGAACGAATCGTGTCCCTCACCAGATTGCACGTCAGTAATTTAACCCAACGTGAACAAAAAAAGCCTTTACACAGACCTTTACTTTCTTGTGGAGTTTCTATACTTGAATTTCCTCCTGGAGAAACACATTGGAAAAATGGAACGTGTCCCTACGAACCTCAAGTTACCACTATTGAAAATATTGACCACGGGGCCTTATTTTACAGAAAATATTTTTATGGTCAAGGTAAATTTTTTTTAATTTATTAAGATTTTTATTTAAAATTAGAATTTGGTTTTTTATTTAATTTTTTTTTTTTTTCTTCTTCAGATCATCAAAATTGGTTTGGACTTGATGAAAATTTGGGTCCGGTTGCTATTAGTGTAAAAAAAGAAAAAATAGAAAAATTTAACGGTGATTCCACGAATAATTTTTCTTATCTGTATCGGTTGGTCATAAGAACGAGTGAGGTAATTAATAAACTTGTATTTAGGATAGCAAAACAAAAAAATGTAAAAAAAAAAAAAAAAGGGTTACGCGTAAAAAAATTATTCGAAATGATTTCAATCGACAGAAATTAATTAATTTAAATAAATGCCTCGCCCGACTATTTTTTTAGCATTTAACAAAAAAAAATGTTTAGCAATTCTGACACATTTGATTTGCATTTTACACTCTGATTCTTGTACGTAATTAACCATTAAAAATTATTTTTTTAGTTAATGACCTTACGAGGTTCAGTATTAGAAGATAGCATACCAAATTTAAAGTCTTCTAACAATCTCAAAAATTACAACACCAAAGAAGTTTTAGAATACATAGCTCCAGAAATAACAATGTCAAGGTAAATTTTTTTTATTATAATTTATTGTTCATTTAGAATCTTAAAAAGTTTAAAAAAATTTTCAATAAATTAAATTTCAATAGTCTTCGCATGGGAATCCAGTCTAATCAAACGGAAGAACAACTTCTCAAATTAGACGAACAGGGATTAAGCACAAATTTTAAAGTGGGTATAATGTACTGTTTGGCCGGTCAATCCTCTGAAGAAGACATGTATAACAACGAAGAAGCGGGTCCTGCCTTTTTAGAATTTTTAGACACAATTGGCCAAAGGGTTCGATTAAAGGGTTTTGACAAATATCGTGCCGGATTGGATAATAAAAGTAAGTATTCCGAAAATATTCCTTTTTATCTATTATATTGTTTTAAATGTTTTAAGGTTTAATTTAATTTTTTTTTTTATTTTTACTTAGCGGATTCCACCGGTCTTTACTCCGTTTTTGCTCATTATCAAGACTGTGAAATTATGTTTCATGTTTCGACACTTTTACCATTCACGGCAAATAATCGTCAGCAACTTCTCAGGAAAAGACATATTGGGAATGACATTGTAACAATTGTTTTTCAAGAACCCGGAGCCCAACCTTTTACTCCAAAAAGTATTAGATCCCAATTTCAGCACGTTTTTATTGTTGTGAGAGCGATTAATCCGTGTACTGAAAATGCCCAGTACAGGTATTTAATAAAAATTTTAAGGTGTTATATATTCGTTTTAAAAAATATAAAAAATTAAAAAATATTTTTATTAGCGTTGCCGTGAGCCGTTCAAGAGAAGTACCCGTTTTCGGACCTCCCATTCATCGGGGAGCAACATTTGCAAAAGGAAAGGCTTTTGCCGATTTTTTATTAGCAAAAGTTATTAACGCCGAAATTGCAGCTCACAGATCAGAAAAATTTTCAACAATGGCCACAAGAACGCGACAGGAATACCTCAAGGACTTAGCTACTAATTACGTTACATCCACTCTTGTGGAAAGTTCTCAAAAATTTTGTTAGTTGAATTTCATTTGTTGTTTATTTTTTTTTTTTGAAAAGCATTCATTTGATAAAATTAAAATAATTTATTTACGTTTTTTATTATTATTTTAGCTATGTTGTCCTTCAGCAGCAAGAAAAAAGAACGTTCGAGGCCAAGGTTTCAAACTGATGTTATTCAAAGAGGAGCTTTTAGTTGGCAAGTTGTTTTAGAAGATAGTGGACAATCTAAAATGGTCGACTGTATCCTCGGTATTTCAACTGACAGTTTGGTTTTAATAGAAGAAAGATCGAGGGAAATTGTTATGGTGACGCCTTGCCAAGCCATTTTGGGTTGGTTTTTACATTCCAATAGCATTTGTATTTATCATCATCAAGGAGAGTGTACAATGATTCATATGCGAGAAGGAGGTGACAGAGATGAACTCATGGAAATTTTGGTACGATTACGCTCTGTGAGTTCAGGTTGCATCGCTCAAGAATTATCGTTAAAAAGGAACTCGATGGGTCAATTAGGATTCCACGTTCAACCGGATGGTATAGTTACTCAGGTAGAAAGTACTGGTTTAGCGTGGGCCGCAGGTCTCAGACAGGGCTGCAGATTAGTTGAGGTAAAAATTATTTCTATTTTTGTAATTATTTATCCTACGTAAAAATTTAAAGAAAAATAATTTTTGCAGATATGCAAAGTTGCCGTATCTACTCTTACTCATGATCAAATGGTTGACTTGTTGAAAACGTCAGCCTCAGTCATGGTGACAGTTATTCCTCCTAATCCTGACGGTAGCCCGAGAAAAGGTTGTAATTTACCAAATTGCAAGTACACAATGCTTAATTACGAAGGAGATTATGAAAACCTCCAAGCCACAAATGATAATTCTTCAAAGGTAAAAAAATTTTGGTTAAAAAAAAGGAAAGGCGTCGATAAAAGTTTTTTTATTTATTTTAAATTTTGGAAATTTGTTCCAGATTAATAGAAAAGTAGCTAGTTTGCAACAAGCGGGTAATCATAAAAAAAAATATGAAAGAAGTTTTTCACCTCCCAGGTCTAGTAATAGTTCTGGATACGGGACGGGAAGTAGTAGCAAATCTTTTACAGATAATGAAACCAAACTTTCTCAGGTATTTTGTTTTTTTTTTTTAATAAGAATAAAATTTTTTTTAATGTGTTTAATCATTAAATGTTATGTTTTATTTTTTTTCTTGATAGGCAGGTATAAAAAATAACTTGATCAACACCGATGAACGATGGTATGAAGATTCTTTAGATGTGGGTCAGGTGAGAAATTCACCTCCACCATTACCAGCCAGACACCAATCTCAATCAGGAATTCAAAGAAAAGAAAATGATGAAGTATTAATTATGGCAAAAAAGTGGGAAGAAAAAAATTATAGAGATAATAATGGAGACAAACCACAAAAACTGTGGGCGTCTCACGGGAAAAAATGGTCTCCCGATAGCGAAAATATTCACACAAAGGTACAAACAAGCCATTCTCTGCCCATGAATCACGGTGGTTATTCATTGCCAATAGCCAGTAACTCTTCCATACGGTAAGACAAAACCAACAATTTTTATAAATAATAAATTTAAAAAAAAAATTATTTTAAAATAGAAAGTTGGAGAAAATTAAAATAAAATGATTGATAAATTGATTTTTCCCTTTTTTTAATTGCACGCGCATCTTTTAACTTAAAAAAAAAATTTCAGGTATGGTCTTGCAGAAGAAACTACTGGTGGAATTTCTAATCATGATTTCAAAGTTGGGGACAAGGTTACTTGTCTAAAAGTAAATCACATAAATAGAATACCAAAGATGTCTGATAGTTTACCTCCGGATTGTAATTTGGGAAGAACGGATATTCATTCTACCGATAATAAAGTTACAGCGTCGACCGAAAAATTCAATGCCATACTTAGCGAAGGTAAAAATTTAAATTTTTTCAAAAAAAAAAAAAAAAAAAACAAGAAAAAATCTTTCATTTCCATTCCCCAACTTATTCCTTTCATTTATTTTGATTGACAGACGAATTTTTGGCAAGTAGTGAAAATTTAAATTCGAGGGCCATGAAAATTAAAAACTTTCATAGCTCATTCACATCAAACGTAAACAATTCAAGAAATCAAACTCCTCATTTAGTCTCCAAAGATAATAGTGAAATTAAATTAAGACAAGGTAAATAATAATAATGATAATAATAATAAATACACCATGCAAATGAATCATTATTTGTAATAAATATAAAAAAAAAAAAAAAATTTCAGGTGCATCAATTAGATCTTTTTCAACAAATAGAAACAGTGCGAATTTAAATTCCAACACGTTACAAGAAGATTTAATGAAACTCATTAATGTTGATTGTCAAAATGATAAAACAGAGGCTCAGACAAAAGTTATGAGCAATAGAGTAAGAAATTAATTATAAGATATTAAAAAAAGAAAGTTTTTTATTTTTTATTTTGAGTATTTCCTAAGAGAAAAACAAAAAAATTTATTTAGGAAAATGGTGCGACAACAAATGTTGGAAAATCATTTTGTAATTCGCCTGGAAGTTGTTCGAACGTTTCAAATTCTGTTTCATCAGATTCATGCAAATCAAATTCGGGTGAAAGTAAAAAGAGAGAAGAACCAGAAAGTAAAAATGAAGTAATTTTAACAACGGCGAGACCAGCGACGGTAATTTCAAATGCATCAACAACCAGCAGTCCACCGCCCAACGATTTAAAACTCTCAAAGGAAGAAAGGTAAAAAATGACTTTTTTTTTTATCAATTACGAATTTTTTTTTTGAAAACTCTTGACTCTTAATTTAAAAATTAAGGTTGTCACCGAGAGTCACCAAAGTGTTTCAAAATCCTTCCAATCGGGTTCAACATGCTCAAAAACAACAATTAAAGACTTCAGTAACAGAAAAATTACCCATTCCCGTACCAGATCCTGGAGAAATGGATTGGTCGAGTTTAGTGGATACGGCAACGAGAGCCATGCTGAGCGAAAATGGAAAAAATTCCGAAGGACTCACAAATTGGACTGAAGGAGAACAAATGAACAATTTATCATTAGATTCAAAGTATTTTTTATTTTCTATTTCCTTTTTCTTAATATTATTATTATTATTTTTTTGTGAAATGAAAAAAATTTTTTTTTTTTTTGTAATGCTCCAGCGGATCAGGAGTGAGAAGAGTGAACGACTTGGAAAATCACGTGTCACAGTTGGAAACGAGAGTAGCAAGGGAAACAAGGAGAAGGCTTTCATTGGAAGACGAAGTGAGAAGACTGAGAGATGAAAATCGGAGGCTGCAGGAAGAATCACAAACGGCAGCGCAACAGTTGAGAAGATTTACCGAATGGTTTTTTCAAACAATTGACAAACAATAAAAAAAAAATTTGTATAAAGTTTTAAAAACAATATTCAACGATGATGCCTTAATTAACGCACAACAATCGTTTTACCCGTTTAACGTGCCCGGTATTATTATTATTATTATTGAATTCAATACGACGATCAATAATGAATTTTACGAATTTTTTTTTTTATTAACTTGAACCAAAAAAAAAAAAAAAAAAGATTTTTTTTTTATATTCTTTTTCGTGTGTTTCTTAAAGGCTCCACCTCTCCTTCCCTCCCCTTCCCCCGTACCCCTCCCTCCTCCCCCTTTTTTAAAATAATAATTAAAAAAATACGCGTTATTATTATTATTATTATTATTATTTAAAATTATTTAATTAGTTGATTAATTAGATTTAATTAAAATTTAAATTGTATTCTAGTATTTCGTAGTGTGTTGGTATAGGCAACAAGGTTTATTATTATTATTATATCTCAAAAGCTAATTATACGTTTTTTTTTTTTTTTTTTTTTAATTTATTTTAAAAAAAATTTTTTTTAAAGGAATTTTTACAAAAGAGACAAAATGAAAAAAATATAATATGTAAGTAATTATTTTACGTCATTTACATAAATACATAAATAAATAAATATATATATATATATATATATTATTTATAATATAGTCGATAAGTTTTTTATTATTAATGAAAGAAACATTATTAAGTTTTGTGCCTTATTATTATTATTATTATTATTAATTCATTGTTTCTTTTTTTTATACGTATTTTGTTGTTTAAACAGTAATATATAAAAAAGAAATTAAAAAAGTCCTTTTACAAAAAAAAAAAAAAAATTATCCATTTTAATTATATAAAAACATAATTTTGTGTTTTCCCCTCCCCTCTCTCTCTCCCTCCCCCTTCCCTTTTGTTAAACTTTTTGGTTGAATGATTAAAAAAAACACAATAAATGTAAATAGTGAAACACTTAATATTATATGAATCCTCAACAAGCTAAAAGCTTTTGATTTTATCGAAAAAAAAAAAAAAAAGAAAAAAGTAAATATTGATATTTTTTTTTTAAATGAAAAGGGGAATTTATTGTTGTGATGGATTAAAAATCGTTTTTTGTTTAACACATTCGATTGTTTTCTTTTTTTTTGTTGTTATTCTATTTCAAGTTATATTAAATCTTATGAAAATAATAATAATAATATTTTATATGTATCAGATATTATTATTATTTTTTTTTCTTGTATCGGTTTAAATAAAATTATTTTTAAAGGGATTTCTGATAAATAAAAAAAAAGAAAATTTTTTTTCACGAGCATTAATCTAAAAGCTAATCGAATAAAAAACCATAAAAATGGATTTTATGGAAGAAGAAAAAGAAAAAACTAGGAATGTAAATCTTTAAATATGGGAAATGCCAGAAAAATGACAGAGTTAAGGGGGATGAATTGAAAAAAAAAAAAAAAAAGGTTAAGGGCAAAAAGTTTATGTGAGTGTGCGACACTTTTTTTTTTTTTTTATTTGTCATTTATTTCTGGATAATTTAAAAATCGTCTCTGGAACCTGGAAAAAAGAAAAGAAAACAATAAATAAAAACGCTAATTGTGTTAATTTTATGAAGAAAATGTTAAATTTTCGTTTATTATTATTATTATTATCGATTAAATGATAAAAAAAATGGTGAAAATTTTTTAAAATCAAATTTTAAAAATTAAATTTTCCGGTTTGTAGGAAAACATGTTTTATTAATGTTTAAAAAGTTTTTTTATTTACTATGGTTTACAAATAGGGAGACGGATATTTCTCACTTATTATTATTATTATTATTATTATCGAGGACAAATGGAATTTTTATTTTTTTTCTAATATATATATATAGAAATAAAAGAATTTGAAAAATGTGAAAATTATTTGTAATTTTCATTTAGACGTTAAATGATTAACATTTTCCATAGCAACAAAATTTGTCGGTGAAAACTGGAAAATTTTTTTGTGCGGGTTTTAATGCGTGGAAAAATAAAAAGAGATGCGGAAAAGTGAAGAAAAACGTTTCATATAATTTTTATAATGAAATAAAATCAAAAGAAAAAAGTTAAAATAAATATTCTAGAAGAGGAGGAAAAAAAAAACTTAAATATATAAAAAAAATATTTTGATAAGCGATCAACATGAACGTAAAAAGGTTCAGAAAAAGGGAAAAAAAATAAAAAGGGGAGGAGGAGAAAAAGGGAGGAAGGAGAAGGAGGAGGAGGAGGAGGAAAGTGATAGAAGGAAAATCTGTCAATAGAGGACAAAGCCAAACGTGAAATTCTCAACTTTATGACAAAAAGTAAAGGAAAATGATAAAAAAATAAATCGGAAAACTGAGGGTGACACTAAAGGGATGATCATCGGTCGGTGGCGGAGAAAGAGACGAAGGGTTTTTCCAGGCGGCAAAAACTACGGAAAGGGGAAGACGCGGGAAGTAAAGGAAAAAAAAAAAAACAGGAGGGAGTCGCGGTAGGAAACGAAGAAAACGTGTTAAGGAGTCAAGGAGGAGAGAAGAGAGAAAGAAATAAAGAGAAAGAGACAAAGAGAGGAAGGAAGAAAAGAGAAGAGGAATGAACGGTGGCGATGACTGGGGGTCGAAGGAGCTAAATCAAAGGGTAGCGATGAAAAAGGTGGTGGTGGTGGGAGCAGCGACGACGGCGACGGCGATGGCGGTTGCGATAGGAGTAAATAAGGAGGTATAATAAGGGGAAGGTGAGGTAAGTGAGTGAGCGAGCGTGTATGTGTGTGTATGTGTGCGTGTGTGGGTGGGTGTTCGTGTGCGTGTGCAAATATCCATTTTTCAACATTTTATCAATAATACACAGATGGATTCTGACTCATTCTCATTCATGTTTTTATATCGGATTTTATGGGAATTTTCCATAAGAAAGAACTTAACTCTCTCTCTCTCTCTCTCTCTCTCTCTCTCTCTCTCTCAGAGTCCTCGTGTCTCCATATTTTTTCCTTTTGGAATTTATACAAACATATTTTTTTTTTTTTTTTTTCCAATATTTGTCGGACAATTGTGAGGGTAAAATTTTAATTTTTTTTCTCCCCCTCTTCCCCCCGTTTATTTATTAAAAAGAGAAAAACCGTAGATTACATTTATTAATTTCTTTGTTAACAAGTTGTAGTTCAGAAATTTTTTTCCTTTTAATAAGTTATTATATTATTATTTAATTTTTTTTTTTTTAGTATCGATTTTTTATATTTTTATTTTCAAAAGTTCTCGTCGTTGTCACCATCATTATTATCATTTATGCATCATTGTTTCGTATCTTTGTATGTTTGATTATGAATGTTTTCCAGAATGCACAAATAATAATTGTGTTTCAAATGCAGTTTATGATAAAAAAAAAAAGGGGGTAAAAAGTTCATTCCATTGTTTAAATGATTGAATTTTGGGGATATCAATGCAATTTCCAATCAGTGGTCACCATCATCATCATCATTATCATCATCGTCATTGTTTTATTCAATTCATTGTTATTTTCTCTTGCGAATTTAAATCTATTCTCGTTTCATTTGAAATTTCCCACAATTTTCACAATAATATTGTTAAACCAATATTGAGAGTATTCGTTTGTCATTGTTTCATGTTTGTTTGTGTATTTGCGTTGTGGTTGTTGTTGTTTTTGTTAAAATGAAAACGTCATAGAAAATTCCACAGAGAATTTTTATAATTAAATAATTATTGAGTTGTTTTTAACATTATTATTATTATTTGATATTCAAAAAATTTTTCATTAACTAAATTTAAAAAAATTTGTTGTTGTTGTTGTTGGAATCGGTCAAGTCAACAACCAAAGTAAATTATTTTTTGTTTTATTATTAAACATTTGAAAATAGGCGGTGTTATAATAAACCCACGTAAATCATGGAGTTTTTCTTCTTCTTTCTAATTCATTTAATAAAAAAAAGTTTGTTTCCGTTATCAATAAGAAGGAAAAGTATATTAAAACTCGTTATCAAATATTGTTTAATAAGATTCTCTTACCTTTTCACGAATAGTTCATGTTTATAAAAAAAAAAAAAAAGAAAGCGTGGGATCAAAAAATTCCCGGGTAATTTAGGTGGTGGTATATCAATGAACCAAAGGGTTCTCTCGTACTCGTTCTCTTTCCCTTAGGTGCTTTTACTTCCATCGAGGGTTGAACATTAACTTAAAAGAGGGTGAAAAGAGTGAAAACTAGGGCAGTGGGCTCATTTAACAGATCCTATTATTCATTCTTTCTTTGGCTTTTTTCTTTTTTCCTTTTCTTTTTTTTTTTTTACATAATATTATTATTATTATTAATTTTATCTTAACATCTACAATTAAATTTTTTTTGTTTTTACGTAACCCAAAAATGTTGTCACACAAAAAAAACTGAATTTTTGTTGTTGTTGTTGTGAATGCTAAAAATCAAAAAAATTATTTTATTATCATCTTTATATGAGTAAAATTAAATAACAATATCTATGTAATATTAATAATGATGATGAATCTACGGAATCGTTTTTTTTTTATTAAATTCCGTTATGTTTACGTTAAAGGCATTTTGAAAAAAAAAAAATGAGAAACGTTTCTAAAAAATACATGTAAATATATTTGTGTTTATAACAAAAAACAATTTAAGTGTTTTTGTGTTAACGTTAAAAAAACAATCTGTTAAAAATCAATACTTTCCTCGTATAATAAATAAATTTAACTGGTTATTTAACTCTCCGAGTGTCTCTAACGCCTGTTTTTAAGTTGTTTAATAATAAATAAATAACACTTTATTATATCGCGAGATTCCATATTAATAAATAAATAAATAAATATATATATATAAAAGACAAACATTTTTTTTTATTTTTTATTTCACTTTTTTATCATTTAATGATAATTTATGTAAATTCTATATAAAAGATTTCTTTTTATTATTTAACCATTAAAATAATGTTATAGTTATTTCAATCGAGGAATAAAAAAAAAAAAAAAAACAATCAACATTTGACTCATATAAAATATTCTCGTAATAACTTTTAAGTCCGATGTAATATTTTTCCAGTTTCCTATAAAGCTTATACTTTTCCATATTAAGTAAGGGAAACAAAAAAAAAAAAAAATTCAATTTATACGTTTTTGGCTTTGACTATGTTAAGATTTAAACAATAAGTATGGTTGTTTTGGCATGATGTGAAAACCTACGTATATATATATAATTCTCTTTGCAGAAAATTTTAAAAGAAATTCTGGAAAGAATGAAAAATCTGGGAAGAGCTAAGGCATTGACCTTGGGTGCCCCAAAAAAACCAGTCTCCGGGAGGGGCGTCAGCAAGAAATAAGTAGTAGTAGTAGTAGTAGTAGTAGGAAAGGGAGATGCCATGCACGCAAAACTCCAGAAAGTGGTTGGATTAATTAGAGTAAAATGCCGCGAGAGGCGCTTTAGTTCCTTATTTTTTACGCACAACAGTAGAATGATTACATAAAAAAGAAGAAAAAAAGAAAAAAGAAAAAGGAAAAAAAAAAGAAAAGAAAAAAAAAATGATCGAATTCAAATGAAATTAAAAAAAAAAATAATAAAATTATATTAAAAAGAAAAGGAGTGGCCAATCACATTTAAATGTTTCGACCAATGAGAATCGTTAAATAATTTAAAAATTGACCAATCCGATTCGTTTCGCGCATGTCACGTGAGCTCGTATTTATTTTTGCACCACCTCTTTTCTTTTTCACCCTCACATGAAATGTTCTATTGTCAGTATTCTAAAAAGATTCATTTTTAACGCAACGGTTTTTCGCTCGTTCGATTCCCGGATTGTTTTCCTAATTATATTAAAATTAATTGTTTTTAGCTGGTTTGAATAATTATTACTTTTTTTTTTTTCTTTTTCTTTTTCTTCATCGGATCGATAATAATTTTTGGGTAAAGTCGTTTTTTGTATTTCCTCCTACGATTACAAAGTTTTTTTTTTTTTTTTTTCGTTTGTTTTTCCGCGATTCTTAAAACGGTATGAGAACAATTGTAGGCGATTCTAGTTGATTTATTATTATTAATATTATTATTATTAAAGTGAAATAAGTTGATTTAGGAATATTGAAAAGTGAATTTAAAAAAAAAAAAAAATTATATATGTATATGAGTTTATTGTAAAAAAAAAGACAAAGAAAAATTAAAACTTATTTTTAGATGAGACAAAATGTGTCGAAGCACAATCGCGATTAATCGTATCAAAAAATTTTTTAAATTTTTATCGATTTAAGTGATTTATGTAACCTTTTTAGAAAAAGTTTTGAAACATATTTATTATAGTTTAAAAAAAAAAAAATTCGCATTTCGGAAAAAAAACTGACATTTAGGTCGAAAACCGGAAATAATAAGTTCAGTTCGTTAAATTTGTCATAGACATATTCGGTTTGAAAACTGACTTAAATTTTTTCATCTCACCGGTGACTATGTGCAGATAAGTGAAAGAAAAAAAAAAAAAAGAAAGAAAAAAGTAAATATGGACTCCAGTTCGACGGCAAGCGAACACAGCAATGTGTCTTCCCGCGATTCTCCGATACCCAGAAAGCAACCTTCTCCCAACTTGAGCAACAATAACAATAGCAATGCTAATAACAACAATAACAGTAATAACAACAACAATAATTTAAACACTAATAATACTAGTACAAACAATGGTAGTATTAATAGCAGTTCACCGACAATGCCTACAAATTTAAGTAACAATGTTAACATGAATTTGCCACCGCGAAGTCCTAGTCCTAGTCCAGTGCCATTGAACGTCAGTCGTACCCCGAGCAGCCCTGTCGGAGGCGGCGGACCTCCGCATTTGCCACCGCCACCCAACATGCACAGTCCAATGTCGCCTCCGCCGGTTTCGACCCCCAACAGCCTGACCGGCTTACCTCATCACCGACTATCCATGACACACATACCCGGTCTACCTCCCCACAGCTTGGGTCTCTTGAACTCGCTGCAGAGCCTTCAACATCACGCGTCGCCTCTCGATCTCATGGCCGTCGCTCATCATCACGGTCCGCCGAGAAGTTACAATTCGCCACCCCCAATATCTTGCTCCGATCCTACCGCAAACGAATGCAAACTCGTAGAATATCGGGGGCAAAAGGTGGCCGCTTTTATTATATCCGGAGACACCATGCTGTGCCTTCCGCAAGCGTTCGAACTCTTTTTAAAACATCTCGTCGGTGGTCTGCACACCGTTTACACGAAACTCAAGAGACTGGACATCGTGCCGCTCGTGTGCAACGTCGAGCAAGTGCGAATACTCCGCGGCCTGGGAGCCATACAGCCTGGAGTCAACAGATGCAAGTTGTTGTCTTGTAAGGATTTCGACATTCTGTACCGGGACTGCACGACTGCCAGGTAAGTGAACGATTTTCACCAAAAAAAAAAAAAAAAAAAAAAAAAAACGTTGTCGGTAATTACTACTCCGCAAAAAAAAATGTTATAAGGAAATTTTTATTCTGCCAATTTGTCTTTGGGATAATAATAATAATGATAATAACAGTAATAATAATAATAATAATAATAAATAAGGGTAATATTGATTAATTTTATTTTGATCATACACTACTTAATTTTATTCGTCACATTTACACTGTTCAGGTATAACAATATTTATATATTTGTTTTTACGATTACTTACGCACTTTATTTTTTTTACGCATGTTTTGACCATACGATTTTCTTATTTATTTTAAAACTTATTAGAATTTAAGAAAAAAAAAACGTTAAATCATTGTCGTTATGAACAACTACAGTAATTATATTTCCTAATGACTGCACGGAGATGACGTAATAATTATAGAACGGTTATAAAAATAATATATTTATAAACACACACACACACATACACATATATATATATATATTAAAACGTGTGAATTAATACTTAACTTACGAATAAAAAAAAAAAATTATACGGTAATAATAATTAAAAACCATTTAATATATATATATATATATATATATATATATAAATATAAAAAAATTAATTATATTGCTGTGTGTGTGTGTGTGCGTTTTCGATAAATACATTATTATTATTATTATTTTTATTTATTTATTTTAAATATTTATATACATTGATTCGTTTCACATTAAGTATTATAATTATATACAAATTTTTTTTATTTTTTTCCGATTGTTTTCCTTGACACGTGAAAATTTAGTGACGTAATTTCTTTTCTTTTTTTTTTTTTATTACCTTCATATTAAAAAAAAAAAAAAGAACAAAAAATTATTATAATAAATATTATTTATATATATATATTTAATAATAATAATAATGGAAAATAAAGTATAAAGTTTCATTCGAAGGGAAAAACATTTAAAAAAAAAAAATTGATACAAACATTTTTATTAAAAATTTTCATCAATAAAATATTATTTATTAACCTAATTAATTTTTTTGTTAATACAAAATGACGTACATAAATAAATATATGATTTTTCGAGGGAGGGGGAGGGAAGGGGTGGGGGGAATAAATGAAAAATTTAATAAAAAACAATTCGAAACGGGCTCTTACGATTTAATTGTTCCAACAACGTGTTTACAAACATATATATTACGCCATTTTGAAAAAATGAAAACGTTTCCTGTTTAATATATTTTTTTTTCCGTTAATGTCTCCCATCGAAAATGGTTCATCATCATAAGAAGAGTAAATTATTTTATTAGTTTATATAATTTTGATCGCTTTGAGAAAATAAAAAAAAAAAAAAAAAATTTATTATTATTATTTGAAATGTCATATTACGTAGGTAATAATTTTTTTTTTTTTTTATATTGGTAATAATTATTGGTTTTAACAATTTTTTTTTTTTCACTCGTGTGAATTTTATGTATTTTCATTTTTTTTTAATACAGGTGTAGGCAGGTGTTATTATTATTATTAATATAAGAAATCAAATATTATTTATAAATTTTATGATATGACTTTGACGGTTGTTATTCGATATCATTCTTCTTTTAAAAAAAAAAAAATTTATTTATATATATTTGTTAATAAATATTATTATTATTGAAAAAAAAAAAAATAAATAATTTAAGACAGAATTCTACGATAATCTAAAATTTCATGCCGAAAAAAAAAAACAAAAAATTTTTTTTTGTAACAAAGACCCCCTTTGTTGTTCATCAACCCCCTCCCCCTATTCATTTCTCTTTTAATTATTTTTGGTTGATTTAAAAATGATTTCTTTTGCCGTTTCGAATGCCGAAATATGAAAACAAACGAAAACATACACAAACAAACACAAACACAAACGCACACGGATGAATAAACGAAAAAGAAATAAGAAGGTCAACGGATACCATTTGTCATTAGTTTTATTTGACGTTTCGATAAGGTCTATCATCATTGTCTGTTTTTGTGTTTAAGATATTTAACTACCCATTTGGGTAGTTAAATTTTTTATTTTTATTTTTTCTATACTGAGTTTTTATCAATTAGGCTACCGCGTTATTATCTCCTATTTTATGTTTATTGCAAAGTCAAAAAAAAAAAAAATTATTAATAGATATAATATATTTAAAAAACAATGGACGAATAATTTGTATATATTTGAAAAATATTTATAATATATAAATAAGAATTATTATTATTAATTAAATGGAAAACCTTTGGAAAAATAAAATTAATTTAATAAAAAGAGGAAAAGAATTTGTTTGTATAAATTGTTTTCAAAAATATTTTAGATATTTTTATTACGTTATTAATCAAAATTTTATGTATACACACACATATATATATATATTTATATATATTTATGTATATAAATGAAAACAAAAAGAAAAAACGGGGATGAAGCTGTTGGGGGGAATAGAAAAAAAAAAAGTTAGCAGACAGCCAGACTGGCAAGCAATGCAGGTAGATAATAAGATTTAATTACAATCTTTTATCATAACAAATATAGAATTCTATGGTTTATTTATAAATAAAAGATAATTTTGGGTTTCAATTTTTGCTTAAAAAAAAAAAAAAGGTGAATTTCATAACAGGGTTAATAATAAATATTTTTATTTATTTTATATAAATAAATAAATGAAAAGGTAAACGATCGCGGTAAAGAAAAAAAAATTTTCCGTTTTTCCCATTCGAACGCAATGAAATCCCGTCAGCATTTAAGTTACGACTGAAAATTTTTCCTATTTTACGATTTCATTACAATTGTTGCTGTTGTGTGACTGGAAAAGGGATATAAAAGGATGAAGGGAAGAGAAAAATAAGAATAAGAATAAGAGTGGTAGAGGGAGGGGAAGAGAGAGAGAGAGAGGGAAAAGGGTCAAATGGGAAAAATACATAGGAAAAGGACTGATACTACTACTACTACTACTACAACAACAACAACGCGCACGCAATTCTACAAATCTGCACGTTTCTGCGTTAAAGCAAAGCGCATCACATTCAAAAGTACATTTCCATTGATATTGATCTTTTGTCTTTGTCTAATTCCATGACGATTGTTGTACTATTCAGTATCCGTTTGAATCTCTTGAAGGGAAAAACACATTTTCCTCCTTCATACAATTTTTTTTCATCTTTTTACGAAGTTTTTCCTTTTTTTCTCCTTCAACATTTTATTTAAAATTGTTAACAAAACGTTTGGTTTAGATTTTTTTTTTTTAAATAAATAAAATATTTTTATTAATAATTAAAAATTAGTCGGAAACAAAATAAAATTGAAAAGAAATAATAATAATAATAATACTTTTTTTACAAACATGAAAGATGATTTATTTTTAACAAGATGTTATGTGCTGACAGCTTACGACATATTATTTTTCATATATTTATTATGAATATTTATTAACAATGGTAATTTTATTGAAATTGATTTTTAATTAAAATAAATAAATAACGTACACCCCTAATATCGATATTATAATAATGATACTTTTTGATCATCCTCCATAAAAAAAGTAAAAAATTAAATTTTATTACCCGAAAATAAAATAAAATGAAAAATTTTCCTCTTCTTTTTCTCATTCGTACAACGGAAAGTTAGTTTAACGGAAAATGTTGGAACGACTCCGGATAAATTTCATTTTTAAATTACGGTTAATAAAAAAAAAAAAAATTTTTTTTGTTCTTTCTCATATTTCTAGAATATTTTACCATTATAATTATCAATTATTATTATTCTTATTACAATGGCGTTTTAGTTAATTTTTTTTAAATTAAATTCTTTGCAAAAAAAAAAGTTTTCTTTATCTCCGCCGCCGTATTACAACCACCACCACTTTTTAATTATTTATTTATTTTTTTATTATTATTATTTATAAATCAATAATAATAATAATATTATTATTATTATTATTATTGACTCGATCGATTAGTGACGTATATAAAAAAAACAATTACGTAATCAAAATATTTAAAAAAAATTTTTCTCCTGTTGTTTTTTTTTTTTAACATAAATTTCGTAATTTTTGTTATTATTGCATAAATATTTAAACATAATTTTTATGTTTTTTTTTTATTATAACAAATAAATATTGATATATTATTAATAATAATAATAATTAAATTCGGCGAAATAAAAAAAAAAAAACATGTAACAACGAGAAAAAAATTTTTTTTTTTCATGAATAATAATTTATATTTTGTTACATAAGAAATTTTTATTTATTTATTTAAATATTAATTATTAATTTATAATGATAATAATAATAATAATTGATAAATTTACAAAAAAAGGAAAATTTTTACATAAGAGAATCTGAATAATTTAATAATAATAATACAAGTTTATTTATTTATATATAAAAATTAATCACACGAACGACATAAATTGATATTATTCAAGTCAAAAAGTTGTTTTTTTTTGTTTAATTTGAATAAGAATAGGCAATTATTTTATTTAAATTTTTAAAAAAAACAGGATTTTTTTTTTGGTTGTTATTTTTCACAAGCAAGGTACGATAGGTATATTTAATATGCCCTTGAAATAATTATAAATATATATTGTAATGATTTACTTCATGCACTTTGACTGGCACCTGACACAAAAATCCACCATTTTTACTTATTTATTTTTCTATGTTTATTAAATTTTAATTAATGTTTTTCTTCTTCTTTTTTTTATGTAAATACGGATTAATTTATTATTATTATTATTATTATTACTATTATTATTATTATTATTATTACGGTGATATAACATTAAATAAAAAAGAAAATAATCATTCATTGAATTTTTATTTTTACCTGTTTGTTAAGAATTTGATATTTTATACAGTCAGAGACCCTTAAAAAAAAAAAAAAAAAAATTATTTTAATTATAATTTCATTGATCGATCACTCCGCGTTTGTTTGTGTTTGTGTTTGTTTGTTTGTTCGTTTGTGCGTATGTTTGTA